CAAACTTTTTGGAAAAGTTTGGCGTGGAAATAAGGGCGGCGGCCAGCTTCAGGTTTTGTTCCTGGACTTGCCATCCAGGGCCAGGACATGTAGCCTTTATGTTCACCACAAACTTGTTAGAAAAGTTTGGCGTGGAAATAAGGTCCAGCTTCATGATCTGTTCCTGGACTTCCCATTCGAGGCCAGGACACGTGGCCTCTATTTTTGCCACCATTTTTGTTCAGAAGAGTTTTCCCCGGATAAAAGATCCAGCTTCAGGCTCTGTTCTTACGCTCCAGGGTCAGGACATGTGGCCGTTTTAGTCACAAACCCTTTAGACAAGTTTGCCACAGAAATAAGTGCCAGCTTCAGGATCTGTTCCTGGGCTTTCCATTTGGGGCCAAGACACGTGGCTTTTATTTCCGCCACAAACTTTCTTTTAAAAAATTGGGTGGAAATAAGGGCCAGCTTCAGCAGCCTGAGGTTGAGAGGACAGCACAGGTTCTGTCCAGACTTACTTGCTGCCAACTTAGAACTTATATAGATCGCATGGAATCTCATCACGATTGCCCCGGGCCCTTTCTCAATACCCAATACCCATGTTGCTCATGTCTAACCCATTCGTGTATTGCGATGCATCGTGAATGCCGTCTTGTGTGTCCAGAGATCTCGTCACGCTTAGACCCCGCTGTCAAAAAGATTTTTTCCCATTTCCATCAGTCTTGGTCGTCGAAGGTAAGCACACGACTAGCTAAAGAACATGTGAACATTGGCAATGCATTTGCTAATTGCCATTGCCATATACCCATTTCACATTGCCTGTCTGACCTGTTTCAAGCCTCCAGCCACGAGCTTTCATCTCTGATTTGTAGAACCTCAGGGACAAGATCTTCAAATGGCCATTGTTGATTATTGCATATGCGTGCCACTTTCCGGCGAACACGGTCAATAATCCAAGAAACCGCCAATAGCCACAAGAAACTGCGAAGGTCTTGGGTCTCATCATAGAGGTGTACATCAAATTGACATCGGCATGATCCCTCTTAAATCGAGACAAATCTTTCTTGACTGGCAGCTCTACAGCCTGTTGAGAGCTATCGTTTCCAAATCCCTTGTGGAGGACAAGGTCGCTAGGGGTCAACTCTGGCCTGTCTGCCTTGTGCTTCTGGATTCTTTGGGCGACCTTGTGATCAAGCAACCTGCCAAATGCAGCAAGCTTCTTCCCATCCCTTGCAGGACCGGCTATGGCCTTTGAAGCAGCCTTAGGAGCTGCTTTTGGCTTGGCTGCTGCTGGTCTTGCACCAGCAGCACGCTTAGGAGCCGCAGGCATGCTGTAAACTAGCCAACTAGTCCTAGCAAGTTTTGAATTGAACTGGAAACCAGCGAGAAGATCACCGGAAACAAAACATCAGGCTGCTGCCTATAGAAGACTCTGGCATTGAGTGTTCACAGACCTAGGGCAATTCGGGTAACACTTTTTCTTCCACTCAAGCGTTTGCTAGTGCCGGTTGTGTGAGATTTACGTAATGCTGAATTCGTTCCTCAATCTCGGCTTCATCGCCAAGCAAAGATACATCCGTAGGCGGAACCTGTGCAATCTAAGCAGGTTACAGGAGTTCCATGCCTTTTTCAGGTGATTGTGAGTGAAGTCATACAGGTCAGTTCAGTCAAACCTATTCCTCTACTGTGGTGGCCTGTGTCACATGCCGCCTGCGGAGTTCTTCCTGACCTTCATCGCATCCTTGTACCATCAGGTATCCTGGAAAACTGTCAATGAAAATTCTTTCTGTTGACCTAATTGAGAAACTAGATTGAGATTATATCTTCCAAAGCAGCAAGAACCCCGACAATGTCCTTGCAAAACCCACCACTTTAATCTGTGCAGAACTCGAGATTCATTTGGTTGGTTGATCTGCATGGATTTCGTGCACCTGTGCTCCTTCCTCCTTCCAGATTCATCTGTGGAGACATAAGAGTGCAGGGGGCAGTTCACATAGAAGGAAGGTGCCTTGTTTGCTGAATGGCTTCTCGAGTGCTTACGTAAACAGCTATGGTTCTAATCTGCGCATGCAAAGGCTGAGGCCCGAGCATGTGTGTCATGTCTCTTGACAATTGCAATAGGCCCAAGCCAAACAGTCGAGAAATCCAAAACGCTTGTTCGTTGAGCTGCAGCTGGCTGGGCAGGGCGTCTCTCTGCTCCGGGAACTTCACAATCTGAAGACAAAATGTCTGACACGCCATCTGATTCACCTGGACCTGACTCCTCCTGTTCCATGAGCTCAGCCACCAATCTGTTAACTGCTTCAGGCGTGCTAGGCGTTTGGCCTGACACACAACCTGAGCACAAAGGTCTCAACCGCTTGCAAAAATCCTTCCAGATTCAAGGTCAAGCAGTCCAGGCATAATCTGGGCATAGCTGAGTAGCTGTTTGCATTTGGGCTATCATCACCATCACCACCACCCTGCAGGTGCAGGCCTGACAAACTCGTTTCACATACCTTTGCAACTATATATATACGCATATCAGACCCTCAAGTCCTGAGTCCCCAATGAGCCTTGAAGCTCATGAACTGAATCTTCGCCACCTGCATTGGCCATCCGCTAATCCAAAAGAAGATTCTGTTTTTCCAGCCCACATGCTGCAAACTGGTTCATAGATCTGCTTTACAGAAACGGCATCAAGTAGAACAATCCACGTGGCTTGCAAAAACAAAAGATTGTTCAGCCTGCCACTGCCGCTGGGCTGAGAGGAGGATCTCCAAGAAGAGTAGAGCCTGGCAAGTCTTGCAAGCCCCCCAAGAATGTCTAGCAATGAACAACGCACAGCTGTTTCAATTATCCAAAAACAATCTTCGGTTGGTCAGAAAACACAAAGCTAGCCAAATGCAATTTCTCGCATTTAGGCCTGCCACGGCTGCCGGGCTGAGAGGAGGACCTTCAAGAAGAGGAGTAGAGCCTGGCAAGTCTTGCAAGCCCCCCAAGAATGTCTAGCAACGTAAGACACACAGCTGTTTCAATTATCGAAAAACAAACTTCGGTTGGTCAGAAAACACAAAGCTAGCCAAATGCAATTTCTCGTGTTTAGGCCTGCCACTGCTGTCGGGCTGAGAGGAAGACCTTCAAGAAGAGAAGTAGAACCTGGCAAGTCTTGCAAGCCCCCCCAAGAACGTCCAGCTGTCTAGCAATGAACAGCTGCTCAGCACGTCAACTACTCAAAAAACAATACTGCTATACTCGGAGAACCCAATTTGCCACATGCGGCTGCTCATGTGCTCTTGGGCTTGCTTGCTCCAAAGCTTGCCTGCTGTGGGATCCTCAATGGAATCCGGATGAGCTTGCAGCGTGGCCAGAAGGCCTGCCAGGTATGCAAACTACAACAAAATCTACCCCCTGGAGGTTTTGGGCCTGTTGATTCCATGTGCTCCTGCTTCACCTGTACGCTTGCCTTTCGAGGTCTACCCCGTCCTTGCCCCCGCCCCCTTCTCTTTGGTTTGGCGTTGGCGCCATCTGGCAATTGAAATAGATTGATTTCACCTGGCAGTGCCCAAACCAACAGCAACCCTGACACAACAACTCTCAACTTAGCCTGCCCCAACCCACTCACTTGAGAGCACCTTCACTATCTGAGCCAGCGTCTTTCAAAGTGCCCTGGAAGTCAGTAGCCAAGCTCTGGCTGCTAACCAAGGCCTTGTAGTCTTTCAACTTGAGATTGGGTCTTATTCTCCTGGCTTGCTCAGCATTACTCTCAAGCAATGCATGGTAGTAACCTTCAAGTTGACCGTGGTAAATCTCGGAAACACCCTTGGCAAAAATCGAGCAGCTCTTCCAAAGCGCGAGCAAATAAGCCTTGCCCAAGTTTGGTTGCGACGGCTGGTATAAGATCACTCTCTCTCCTCCGACCTTGTAAGACTCCTGCTTAGACTTGTTAGTCAGTGCCCTTTGACCCCAGCCATCAGCAAGAAGTGAGACAAGCAAGTCCATAGTTGTCATGTCTTGTTCAGCTGGCGGGGGGCTAGACATGTATTTGCTGATTGGCACAGGACACTCGTAGTATTGCGCCAGTTGAACGCTTGAAGTTCCGGCCTCCGTGGCTTGCACCATGTCTCCATCTCTTGGCTTGACAAACCCCATTTTGATAAGCTCTGACATGGCATCACTGTCAGAGTCTGCGCAAAAAAAGACCTGGGAGGAATTCTCTAAAGCCCCTTGCTGCAAGATCTCTGTCAGCAGATGAGAAGCTGATTGAGACCTGCAGGGCTACATTCCACCTAACCCCAGACCGTTGTCACATGACTCTGGTAACAGCGCAAGAACATTGTATGTACAAAAACCTTTTCCAGCAAAGCCACATGGAGGTTGTGGTCAAGAATGACACCCCAGCGCAGGCTCGCCAAGCCAACAAGCTGTTTGCCAGGGACTCAAAAGAGAGCTCTTGTAGTTTCATCGCTACAGGATACCCACAAGGAGACAGAAGCACTTTGTTGACCAAGTCCGGCGCACTGTGCTCGATGCAAGGCTGGAAACGCTGAACCAGGAAATTGAACAAACTCAAAGGCTCCCCTTCCACTGTGTGGTGGCTCATGTTGTTGCCCTGAACCTTGAAAAACATTTTGTCTGCGTGTAGTTCTGACACTGTGGTTGCTAGGGCCCCAAACAAACCTACGCTTCCCGCTTCCTGTGGGGCTGCAATAGCAAGTTGGCTGCCTGTGTTCTGGATGGCCAGCAGGTTGGTGTCGTCTTCCACAACATCAGGGCAGGGTTCAAGCTTGTGGCCACCATCGGAGTCTGAATCTAAACAGATCATCTCACTGCTGCTCTTCTTCTGCCTTTTGCCTACCACATCAGCCAAAGCCACCACAACATCAGGGCAAAGGTCTGCTGGCACGCTGAACACAACCTGGTCTCGCCTCGATACCTGCGCGAAGACATCAGCAAACCAAGGGTTAAACAAATACCTGGCTCACAAACAGAAGCTCACAACCAGCCACAAGAAACTCTTGCGCAAACACAAGCCTCGGGAATGTGTGCCATGAGTGCTTTCAGAAAAGGGCTCACCGTTGGCATGTGACCTTCTGGATTGCGATCAGCTAGTTTGAGCTGCTCTGCCTCTTGCAATCGTGCGGTTTCCAATTCTTTGCGCAAACGCTCGCGCTTGCTGTGTTTCAAGCCAATGTGATCACGGTACAGGAGGCTTGCCAGCTGCCTCTCACCCATCGCATTTATGTAGTCACTGGGTTGCATGTGCAGCAAAGTCCTGCAACAAGTCCAAAGTATATTATATATATATACTAGTAGCTCAACATGTCTACAAACATGCACAAAAAGCTGGGGGCTGTACAGCACCAGTTTCTTGAAGCCTTCCTCGCGTTCGATGCCAGATACGCTGGACTGGAGATCTCTGAGGGCCTGGCAGACATGTTGGGAAACCCTGAGAACCTCAACAAATTTGTAGTGCTTAGTCTCTTGGGATCAAGGCACGATGGGATCATAGGCCGCAAGTTCTAGCAGCTGCTTTGCTCTCAGCTCAAAGCTGAGATACGGTAGTTTGCACCCAGGCGACCGCTTGATAATGCGTGCTATGTGGGAATGCAAGCCCTCAACGCTCCTTGTGACACAGCGTACCTTGTGACACAGCGTCACGGCGAACTACAAACCCTGAACCCTGAACCCTCTGGCTCACAAAAATCATAGCAAATCAAAAATCATACTATGGCAAGTATCCAGCTTAAAAGCACTCAGCCAGTGAAGCAAAGGTTGTGTTCCCTGAGGGTCTTCTTTGCGCAATCCCTGAACAGTCTCTCCCTGTGCAAGTTTTTCAACCCAGCTCCTCAGTGGAAGGTCATTGCCTCCTACACCTAGACCAGGCCAAGAGGGGTCAAGGAAGCGTTTGCTTTGGGTGTGAAGACATCCACGACCTTGCTCAGACCACAATCTCAAAGCATCCCTCGCTGCGGCGCAAACGATAAACTCATTGTTGTGAGCAAGGGCACCTCAGACACTCGCCCCCTATTATAGACATGGGACTAAAGAGGATTATGTTCTTCACACTTCATGATATACCCAAAAGGAAAACATAAGAAAACATAAGGAAACAGAGCATGAGGAAATATCATAATATACCCAAAAGCCATCCACTTCAAAGGATTTGCGAACCCTTGTTCTTGTCTAAGCGTGGTTGGACGCTGCACAAGTCTGGTGGGGCTGCTCTTGCCTTCCTGGGTTGGGTGGGCGGGCGGGCTTTTCAGCTGTTGTTGTGCAAGGTGCACACGCAAATGCACTTGAGCCAGAATGTCCTTTTGGTACATTTTGGTGACTTTTGTGAACATAAAACTTGCAAACGCAAGCTACACGCAAGCTGGAATAACTGTAGTAGAGCCACAGGAAGGAGGGGAAAACAGAAACCCTCAAGACGCAAGCAATCACAATTCCTGATAGCCTGTGACCCTTGCAAGAAGCTCACAACATAGGTAATCAAACCCTACTTGCTCACAAGCGAGGACTTGGCAAACAAAAAGCCTGTGCCCCAATCAGACAAAGGACACAGTTTCCAAGGCAGCTCGTCATAGTATTTCAGTTTGACCTGCAAAGTTGCCCAGAGCTTGCTTCTGGCGGCAACCCAATCTTCCACAAAAGCAGGGCGATAACTGGCCTCAGCCTGGATGACCCACTCAGTGAAATGGTTCTGCCCTTCAGTTAGAACTCTTTGTAACCTTGGAAGCCATTCACCTGCGGCAAGGTCAACAGCCCTACAACCACGATAAGGGCATGGGAGCACCTCCCGAACATGAGCCAACCACTTGGTTCTCCGCCTCTTTCCGCCCTGGCCTTTGATCAATGTGTCTTCACAGCATGGGCATCCCTCTGCCCACTTGCCAATGTATTCAGCCGTGTAGCATATATTGTGGACACAAGCAACCGCTGCCCAAAAGTTTGGGTCTGTGATGGCTTTGTCGATCAAGTCAACACTGCCTCTCACCTCGTCACTAGAACTCCTCTGGCCACTGGACATCTGCCCCAGGAACAATTCCTTGTTCCAAAAACGGCGCAACGGAGACTCAAGCTGCAGAAGGGCCTGGGTAAACTCCTCAACTGCTTCCCACCGCAGGCTTTTGAGGGAAAGACTCCAAGTCTGAAAGGCTTTGGCTTCTGGGTGATCAGCTCCAATACAAGCACCTTGAAACCTTTCCCTCCAAGTGGGGTAGCGCAACAACTTCTCCACAGCACGCAAGCTCTCTAGCACAGGCCCCCACCTCACAAAAGAAACAAGTAAGTTGTTTATCGCGCTGTTAGTAACCAACAAAATGTGAAGGGCCCAGTCCTAGTCTAATGTCCCCTGGAAGAACAAAAGTCTGAGTTTGGGGTCACTGAGGATTGAGATTGAGATTGAAAACGCCCCTGTTGCACAAAGCCCTGGACTTCTACTGAAACATGCCTGGTCACATGGTCATACTGTCCAAACATTCATGCAGCATGTTGTCAACTATGTGCTTGACGTCGCTAGTCCTGATGGAATTTGGATAGAGTTTGGATAGCCGTTCTGCTTCCTCTGACTCTGCTTGGTCTGGCATTGAAGGGTCCTTGGTCTCTATATCGTGAAGAGCTTCGGTATCATCTTCAAGCGCTAGAAAGCCTACCTGCTTCTCACTCGTTGAAGGCAATGTCTTCAAATTCTCTGCCGTGTCGTTCAACAGGGCTCGGAAATTCACTTGAGGCGCATTACCAACTTCATACTCCACCCCTGGCAATTGATTGGGCACAAGGGAAAGTACCCCAAAGAGAGTAAACTTGTAGTCTTTCAAAGCAACTACTTGTTGAGTTTGTGGATTCAATTTTCAATCCTGTCCCAAGGAGTCCTTGATCCGAGACAGTGTTGATCACCATTTCATTGTAGCGCTGCAAGTCTGTCAAAGGACTCTTGCTGCATCCAACTTCCAGCAACAATACAAAAATGATCGCATCCAGCTTGTTAGGGAAGGAAGTGGAACCTACCAGGCCAACAGAAACAGGTTTGTTTGTTTGCCCCAGCCAACTCTCTTTGTTTGGGGGGAAGTCAACAGGAGGAGCCCCGCATATCCCCCTGCAGACTACATGCGCGGTGAAAATGGACCCGTACAAGACTATTCACGCAGTGGTTGTCAGTGCATGTTAATCTGCAGGAGGGTAAGCACTGTGATTGCGCTGCGCACCTTTACCAAGCGATACTATGGGCATTGCTCTGCACTGCACGGCAAGAGAAGCACGCTGCTCCACATGAACCTCGTTGTCAACGAGATCTGCTTCAGAGACATCTTGGAGATACCTAGCCACCGCGTCAGGTGCCCTGGCGCAATGGCATGAGACAAGGGCAACGGTAATGTAGCGGGTAAATAGATATATGCGTCATGCCTGAACATGGAACTATTTCTAAAGCGCCTGGCTGAAAACTCTTGAATAAGCATCATGTCTTTCCGCTTCTCACTCGCGTCGTAGCCTGCAGAAACTCTGCTCGAATATACTATATATGGAATTATATGTGTATATAGGCAAAAAATATGGGCTGAATGAAAGCTATCGAAAGCCTCTGCGACTCTGAGCGCAAACAAGAAGCCAAGAGCAATAAAGTGGTTGCCCCATCCCGCAGTTCTCCAAAAATTGCGCCTAGACTGCATTAACATTGCATCTAAACGGTACCTTGCCCTGGTGAAGGTGGAGCCACTTGGTCCATCTGGTACAAGGTCACTCTCCTGGCCGGTGAACTACAAATCCTGGCCACACAAGGAGGCAAGACTACCTACGCTGAACACAAACTGGTTTTGGGCAAGTCTCCTTGATGAATTCACTAGAACCACTCGCAAGCTGTAGCGCTGCACTGAGTGCAGCTTTGAAGTCATCGGCATTTCTCAAATGCAAGCCCCTTGGCTTTGAGGTGGCAAACTGAAAGAAACAAATAAGGAAAGAAAAAGAAAGGGCGAGATAGAAAGAGATAGACAGCGAGAGAAAGACCGACAAACAGATAGATAGACAGATAGATAAATAGATAGATCGATAGATAGGTATACGATAGATAGGTATAGGCTAGGTAGATACATAGGTAGATAGAGAGGAAGGAACCAAGGAACGATAGAAAGAGATAGACAAAGAGAGAAAGACGAATAGATATATATATATATAGGTAGATAGATGGATAGATAGGTAGATATAAGAGTAGAAAAAGATAGAAAGATACACGTAGATAGATAGAACGGAAGGAAAGAAACAAACGAAGATATAGAAGAGATAGACAAAGAGATAAAGACAAATAGATAGAAACATATAAAGATAGATAAATAGATAGAGATAAATAGGTAGATATATAGGCAGAGATAGATAGATAGATAGGTAGGCACTCCGGAGCAAATGCGCAGCTTCGACATGAACCGCTTTACCACAAACAAGCTTCAACATGATGAACCTTACCAGCTGGCCAATGCTGTACACGGGTCTGCCCACGCCAATGCGAGTCTGTGGTCGCATCGCTGTTTCTGCCTTTCTCTTGATGTAAGTCGATGCCTGCCAAGCGTGAGCATGCTGCTGACACTGAAATAGGATTATTGATACACGCTACAAACAGACTTCCTTGAAACAATAACCAGGCCTCAGACATCTTTGAGATCAAAGACATAGCTTCTTGGAAAAATCCAATCTCAGGGAAGGGCGAGCATCTGATCGGGCGGTATGAAAATCAACTACTCAGAACCCAGCACTTGCAAACTCAGGCCTGCTGCACGTTGCCATATCTAAGAACCGGTTCAGCAGCACGCATGAGCAGTTCGTATGCTCGTTGAGCATCATGGCACAGCTCTTCCATGGCATTTCAGCAGAACTCTACTATTCATACGGAAATCAGATCCACATTGCCACAAGTCTATCCTTGGCGCATATGCCTGACACCTTGGAAAGAACAACATTGTGATTCCTGAGCTTTCCTGAACACTTTCCCTGAGAAACATTTCAATTTGTGTCCCTCACTTGCTACTACCTTGGCGCAATCACAAGGTTTGCGGCGCATCTCCAAAGCAAGGGCATGTAAGTGACCCAGAGAAAAACATGGAATCGCCATTATAAGCCCACATGGACAGGATACCAGAATCACTGGTTTTGAACTTAGGTATGAGTATATGCAATCCTTATTTTCTATCCCGGCAATTTCTTCCAGGACTTTTAAAATTTAGCACACACAAGTCGGCAGGGCGAACAAGAGATGGTGGCCCAATTAAAGTTACTAGCACATTCTTGACATTCTTGACCAGCATTTCTTCCATTATCATGTCCAATGGGCAAAAGATGTTCTGACCATGGAAAAGCAGCTTCAAAGAAGGCGATGTGTAGCAAAAGTCCCGTCGGTATAGCGGTGACAATGAAAGTAGCGACATTGTGTTCAACAATTCTATGACAACTCAGACAGGTAAATGAGACCCTAGATCCGAGTAAGTCATGAAAAGGTGGCGGAATTATCGCGACAATTGCCTCATATGTTCTGAGCAGGTCCATATGAGTATCTTTGGGGAGAGTCGACATAGCCAAAGCTAAGTGGTAGTGATCAAAATCATCATTCGGTAGATAGGATGCACAAGTCCATCCTTTGGCTACCGCAACCATTGCTCTGTGTCCAATGTGATTTTCAAAGTTTACTTGTTTGTTCCAATTAGCCTTGGATACAATGCGCAGTGCAGCCGTATAGTAACAAGCAGTGGAATTGAGATTCTCATACAAGGAGACTGCTCGTTGAATATCTTCATCCTGAAAATCCATATTTTGCAAGGAGACATCCTGGCTGATCATCTGCTGTATCTGGTGAATAGAAGATTGTCGACGTTTGTTTTGGAGGATTCCATTAATTGGGTTTTGGTTGGTATCCCAATCGGAGGCATGTTGAGCGTTGATTCCCCGTTTTACAAGACGATGACTAAGGCCATCACCTCGTTTGGGGGTAGGTTTTGCAGCGGGTTTCTTGACTGGCTGTTGGCGTAGGTCGCTTGGGCTTTTTTTGTGGCAGGCTTTCTGTCTGTAATCACTTCAACAGTGTGTTTTGACTCAGTCAAGAGGGCACTATGGCCTGTTTCTTTCTTTGGATCGTCTTCTAATTGCTGTTGTAAATCTTGGTATACCTGTTCACAGAACGAATCAGTTGAAAGCTGTGAGGCTTCATTGTCCGATGTACAGTCTTTGAAGGAAAAGGGAACAATAACCTTTTCTTCAGGGAGCTCTTTAGCTTGGCGGCTCTCGGTAGAGTATGATTGGGATTGTTGCACTCCTTTTGGATAATCGGCACAATCTTGCTTTACATCTCTGTGAGCAAAGCGCGAGGCAGAGCTTTCGTCAACTTGCATTGCTTGGTTTACTGAATAGGGATCATATTGGATATTGGGAATGTAAGCTTTGCTTGCCAAATGATATGCAGGTGTTCCAGAAGTTTGACGCAAGGGAGATGCTGGACTAACCTGACTTCCTTGATTTGCGGCTTGATGTTCATCACAATCCTTGAACAAAGGGTCAGAGTCCTGTTTTGGTGTTATTTCTTCTTCATGGGATGTAGACCCTGTTGCATCAATTTCAGTCAGTAGAGGACTGACTGCATCTTGATTGTGGTCAGATGAAGATGGGATCGAACGAGCAGGCGATTGTTTGTTGTCACGACATTCACCAGTGAAAGTGGTATCTATTTGGGCATTTATGCTACATTGGGGGCTGCTGCCAGTAATATTTGCCGACTGTTTTGTTGCAGTGGGCTTTGTAACATGCTTTTGGTGCGAAGAGTGACTGTTGTACCAAATTGACAGGATACGGCCAACAGGTGCTTTCCCAAAGACATCGTGAATGTCCATTTGACCCGGTAAGAAAAGAATGAGGTTCGCACGGTCATAGACACTAAGCTCAAGTGCATTATTAAGGCACCGTGAGACCTTGCCTCTTTCAAAACGTGGTTGAAGTACTTGTAGCTTCTGACCAGGTTCAATTTGGCAGTGAATAATACATTCATGCTCCGGCAAGGTAGTGATAACATCTTCTTTATGCAGTTGGAGAGGTGGCTTTGTGGTAGTGCATTCGAGGAAAATTGTATGATGGTCAAGGAGATGCCTTTGTTTCATAAGAATATCAAGAAGGTAAGAGGCCTCTTTCATGGAGAGTTCAGCTTCAACGAAGCAAATGGGAACTATCTCATCAAGAAGATCAACGGCTACATCTTTCTTGCCAATTTCAAAACTAAAAACTTGTAACTGCCCAAATCTTCTACGTGACATGCTATTACCTGGCAGAGGAAAGAATCCACTAAGTCGAGCACCTTGACATAGTCCTTTGTTATGTGCACCAACATGATGATCAGTTTTGGTTTCTTTAACATAAATGTTGGAGGTCCTTTCAGTGGTATGGACATCAGGTTGCTTGTAGTGGACAATTCTGTTACAAGCCTTGTGGTCAACGAAAGTGCTACATATTCGGGGGAATAATGTAGGTGATGCATAAAAGGCAACAACTTTCTGTTGGCCTTTGTCTTGGACATGCACTATGGCGGGTCGGATCTGTATAGCTCCCAAGACTTTTTGTAGCTTCTTACTAAACTCAACATCGACGATTCCATCTTTCATCATAAGAGATCCATCATCCTCAATCTGAAAGGCTTCGTGAGTGTCACTTCCTGTCGTACAAATATCAACAGTCCAAAGGTTTTCATCGGTTCCCGCGGTGAAAGAACATTGCAGGCTACCTTCTTCTTTGCCAAATGGAATCTTAATCTGTTCTTGAAAGGTTCTGAGCCTGAAGTTTTCAAGTTCAGTTCCTTCAGCATAGATGACCAAGAGCAATCTTTTTTGGATATAGTATGGAATATTCATGTCAATCAAGATGCTCTGAAGTTGCCATCTTTCCTCTTGCGTGCAAGATCTGATGTCTAGAAAGGTGACAGTGCGAAAGCAATAGAAAGTGGGGGCATCACTAGGACGTACATTCCAAAAGAGTGGAATCACCCTTTGGAGGTCTTGCTGAGCAGAGGAGGCAACGTCTTGACTCAGACAAGCATAGATTGACACAAGGGAATCAGTCACAGTTTGAACTTCTGATTCGGCAATGCCAAAAGTGACACAGCATCGATCTGTCGCTCCGAGCTCTGTATGGAGAGGGGGGTCACGCGTATAAACACGAAACCGAAAAACTCCAGGCACGGCAGTAATTGCAGCTTGGATCTGTGACGTGAGGGACTTGCTGGAACAAAGCCATGTTTCTGCATATTCCAGACTTGGCGAGAAGACTTCAAAGCTATTTACATTGCAAGTGGCATTGAGCGCAACGAAATATGTAGCTTTGGTAAAGGTGCGCGAGCCTCCATTTTGTGCAAATTCAAAGCTTTTATATTTGCTAACTCGCTGTATGTGAGCTCGATGTCTTTTTAGCGAAGTACAGACCCCAATCGTTAGGTCAACACAAGTAGCACTCAAAGTGCACTCATGAAAAAGAAGCACATGTCGTAGTTGAGTGCCTGAGTGGTAGAGTTGCAAGATGATTTCTTGCAATCGACTCTGTATTCCATAAATGACAATGTCTATTGGATGACTTCCAGAAGCGGCAGCACAAACATTATTGTACTCATCTTCACCAACTATAAAGAGATTTCGGCTAAAACGAACTGTGTTGATCATGCTAGGAAAACGACAGAGAAAAAAGATGCGTGGTGATACAGCTAAGGAGAGTCTACTGAGCTGTGAGAAAATTCCTTTTGCCTCAAATGAATCGAGAATATCATCATAGATAAATTGAGAGATCGTGCAAGAGACTTCTTTAGAAACCATCAAGGAGACAAGTAGAGCCTATAACGAAACTCGAATGGTGTCTAAGGACACCCTTCAAGTGTGCTTGTAGGGTAAGGCGTGGCCAAAGTTGCAATCAAATGGAGTCTAAGGACCCCACTTGAAATTGTACGGTGTCTAAGGACACCACACAATTGCAACCGAATGAGAATGCAAACAAAGCAAACAAAGACCCTAAGCTCAGAGTGAGAGGAACCTAGCTACGCGTGCCAGCCCGGAGAAAACTTCTTCTCTTTAAGAAGTAGTCTTGAACCTCCTAGCTCAACGGCTTTTGCCGCGAGTTTGAGCCGAGACGCCTTGAGCCAAAGGGTTACGGAAACCCGTTTCAGCTTGACTAAGGTCCCTGGTTCTGTCCTCAGTGACTACTACCGCAAAGGATACCCTTTCACTCCGAAGATGGCAGATCGTCCTTACAACCAATATGGCACGATTCACTACTCCGAAGAGAAATGGGATCAGCTCTGTGGGTGGCTCACTGGGAACCCCACGTTCAGACTCCAACTCGCGAGCCATAAGCAGGCACTTAGAGACCACATGGGTTACAGTCAGGAAACCACCGATCCAAGCAACAAAGCCCGCCGTACTGACCCCCCCTACAGAAGTGGGAAGTTCCTCGACTGCAGCAGGGTCTTCCT